TAGGATTTGGGGGCTGTTTACTACTGCAGCATAATTTAGTCTACCCGATATGTTTCTTCTCCACTGACTCCTTACCACCAGTACATGAACAAGAATATAGTCAAATCTCTTTACTTTTTTTTTTTTTAAGAAAATATTTTTATTTATTTGACAGAGAGAGAGACAGCGAGAAAGGGAACATAAGCAGGGGGAGTGGGAGTGAGAGAAGCAGGCTTCCCACCGAGCAGGGAGCCAGATGCGGGGCTCGATCCCAGGACCCTGGGATCATGACCTGAGCTGAAGGCAGACGCTTAACGACTGAGCCACCCAGGCTCCCTCAATCTCTTTACTTTTAAGCAAAAAATCCTCTTTTGAATTCTCCCAACCCAATCAGCTACTGTCCTTTATTCCTCCTCTTCACAGTAAAACTGCTTAAAAGTACTCCACTTCCTCTCTCCTTCGCTAGCCAACCCAATGCCATCTGGCTTTTACCTCCACCGCTCCACAGAAAGGGCTCTCATCAAGGTTACCAATGACCCTGCTGCTAAATCCAATAGACATTCTGAGCTCTTACCTTACTTGACCTCTCTGTAACATTCACTACTATTGACTACTTTCCCTTCTTTGTATACTCTTTGCTCCCTTAAACACTGCTCCTGGATTCCAAAACAACACCCATTTCGTTTTTCCTCTTCTCTGGCTGCTCCTTCCTAGGTAAGAACCTAAGGATCTTCTCTTACTCCATCCCTTAAATTTTCCTTTTATACACTGAACAACCCTAGTGATCCACAAGCTAGCAACACTGACACCATCTGGGAGTCTGTAAGGAAAACAGAATCTCTGGCTCCACTCCAGTCCCACATTTTAACAAGGTACCAGTTGATTCCTAGGCACATTTAAGTTTGAAAACAATGGTCTGAGGTCATATTAGCTTGGCTCCTGAGGTTCTGCAATAGCTTTTCTTCTTGTACCCAGTGTTACCCTCATTATTTTGTAACCTTCCAACTCCTGATGACCCAGGGGGCGGACTATGTAATTGTAACCATACCTCTGGTTCCCATTAAAAACCATCCTTTTAGTTAAAAAAAGAAAAAGAAAAAGAAAAAGAAAACAATGGTCTACAGAATTTAGGCTTGCACCCACTCCTCATCTTCTCTGGTCATTTCCTACAATCCACAGAACTATAAACTGCCAGTCTAGACTTCTCTAGGCATCAGATCCACATGGCCTTCTACCTCCCTGAAATCCTTGCACTTTTTTTCATAGATTTTATTTATTTTAGAGAGAGAAAGCGTGCACACACATGGGGGGGGGGGCAGAGAGAGAGAGAAAATCTCAAGCAGACTCTGAGCTCATGACCTGAGCCAAAATCAAGAATCAGACACTTAACCAACTGAGCCACCCAGGCGGCACCCCGAAACCCTCACTTTTATGCCCTGTAACAAAATCAAACTCTGTCCTTAAGCTAAGTCCATCATCTTCCTCCATCAAGCCTGTTCCTTACATAATCATAAACATGTCATTTATTAATACTTGCTTTCCCCTTGCCTCCAGATAAAAGCACTTCTGAATCTATCTCCTAAATCACTTTAATCTGTCACTTTCCTCCATCTCCACTCCCAATGTCCTAATTCAAGCTATCATTTCTCACTTTAATTACTGCAAAGGCTACTTAACTGGTCCCTGTCCCAGGACTGCCTCTTTTCAATTCATTCTCTATACTCCTGCCACAATGAATTTAAACACAAATTCAATCATTTCATTTTTTTGCTTCAAATGATTTAATGACTTATAGAAGTTCTTACAGAAGAGTCAATGAATTTCAAGGCCCTGCTTATTTTTCTAGTCCTAGGCTTTTCAAATTGCTGCTTATAAAGGATCATGACCAGTATTAATTAAAAAAAAAAAAAAGCAAAAACAAAACACCCAGAGCAATATACAGATAATTAAATATTATTTTATGACATTTTTTGTTCAGTTATACATATGTGTGTACCAGGTGCAAATTAACATATATTCCTTTCTGTGGGAAGTGGTCAACAAGTTTGAAAGCCACCGCTCTACCTTCATCTCACCACACTAAACACACTATGCCCTATTCTTTCAGTTCCTTGAACACATTCTTCTTAACCTCTAAATTGTGGCACATGCTGCTGCCTCTGCCTGAAAATCCCTCTCCAAATCCCCCAATTGCAAACACACACACACACACACACACTTTGCTATCTTTCAACTTTCAGCTTAAGGGTTACTTCTTCTGGAAAACCTAGAATCTTCTTAGTTTGAGTTAGGTGATAGCCCATATTCTCATTATAATACTTTAACACTGTATTCTATCCCTCTAACAGCCCCTAACACCACCATTTCTGTAAGGCAGTGATTATATTCTATTAACACAGTGCTTAAGGTAATGTCTCAAATGTTTCAGATGCTCAATTAAAAAAAAAAGGAAGTTGAAAGAAAAAGAGCACGTTGTTAGAATACAATAACTTGGTAAACACAGGAATTACTTAAAAAGTAATTGAAAGCCAAGGAAATTGACTGGGAAGCAATCACATATGGCTGAAGGTGGTCCAAAAAAAAAAAAAAAAAAGGTAGGATAAACCAATCACTGAAAAATGGTCATATTTAGATTGAGAAAATGGAGATGAATTTCAGAGAGAATGGTATGAGACCTGTAGTCCAAAAAAAAAAAAAAAAAGGTAGGATAAACCAATCACTGAAAAATGGTCATATTTAGATTGAGAAAATGGAGATGAATTTCAGAGAGAATGGTATGAGACCTGTAATACAAAACAAAAATAGAAGTATATTTACAAAAGCTATAATTACATCATATTGGGGACATGGGCTCAGTACACAGAAGGAAACCTGGTATACTGAAGCTATATTACCAAGATTTCCTGTAAAACACGTTAGGATGCAACTGAAATGTATTCAACTCAGACAGAGGTGATCTGGCTTCCAATCCCAAATGTGAGCTAGAGAATGAGATGATCTAATTTTTGCTTTTGAAAGCACCATGAATGGTTCTACAAAGGATAGACTCAGTGGAAAGCAGGAGTGGAAGCTAGAAGATTTGTTAAGAGGCCAAGAACACTGAACAAAATGGTGGCTTGATCTGTGGGATAACTGCTGTGGAGACAAGTGGTTGGATTTGGGATATATTAAGAAGGCAGAGCAGACAGATGTGCTGAAATGAAAGAAATATCAAAGATAAATCCAGTTTGGGCCTTGCAAGTGAGTAAATGGTAGTAACATTTACTAAAATAAAGTTTGGGGAGGGGGTAGAAATCCAGAGTTCCATTTACAATGATCCATCACACAACTAGCTTCAGATGGAAATAATAACGAACAATTTTTTCTGATTAAACTTTCCATCTGTTTACGTCTTATTTTCCCAACCATTATCATATTTCCCAACATCATATTTCTTCAGATCCCCATGGCAACATGCATAACACCTTGTAGGAAACAGAGGCTAAATAAAATTTAATGAAGAATAACTTTCTAGTTACTGTGTACATCCTTTTATAGCAATCAGCCTATTATTCTTCCAATTTTAAGATGACTTAGATAAGCTACCCTTCATTTAAGAAAAAAGTTTGCTCAATGAACAAGTTAATTTTGGGCTGACAAATATATATATATATATAATATATATATATTAAAACAGAAGAATGTGGTAAGGTGTGAAGATAAATGGATAATGGCCAAAAAACACTTTGATGAAAATGACATGAATAAAAGAAAAATAAAGAAATAAAAATTATTTGGAAACAGAAGCCTAAATGAGGATTTAATTACATTCTGTATCTCATATGAAGGGTGCTTTTAAAGAAGTTACTAAAAAGATGTCTCAGACTTATAGTAAGAAAAATTCTGTTTAAAAAAAATATATATATATTAAAAATATTAAAGTTCCCGCCAAGGGAACTTTAATGTTTCCCTTACTACAGATCTCCAAGATTCAACTCAAATGGGCAATCACCAACCTGAAGAGCCTAAATCAAATCATCTTTTGAAATTTCTTCTATTTCTAGGATCCTAAGTTTCATTCTCAAAGAGGAGCTACTAATCAACAGAACTCTCCCCAGCCCAACATAAAAACAAAACAAAACAAAAACCCTGGGTCTCTGGTTATTTTAATACTAAAAATGAAAGCTAGACTATTCTTCCGAACGACCTACATTCAAAATAGTGCTTGACAGCTTTTATTCTGCGCGAACCTGTTATGAAGAAGGCCGCTGTTTTCTAGCTCTTCAGGCCAAGAATTTTTCTAATAGAAAGGGTAGCCAGGGATACTCTGACACTGACACCCCAATAAAGTTAATTTCGGATAGGACCTGAACGTAACATCTGTTTTGTTCACAGTTCTCATGTCCTTAAAGCAAAATATACATTCAGCTTGCATAAATCCTAACTGCTTCGGGTCAGATGAGCATGGCTAACGAAAAACGACAAAATATCCGCTACCGGAAATTTTAGCAGAATACCTTTGCACACTTCACACAGCATATGCACCAGTTAAGAAAAAAAAGCAACGAAAAGGTTAGGGGCGGCGGAAGAGTTGGAAAAATGTCCTGTCTCATCCCTCCCCGCTATCGAGTCTCAGATTTACCTCCTGCCTCTCCGCTTCCTTGTTCTTCTGTCCCTGTTTCTTCGCATACCACAAGCCGATTTCGCGGCCTTTCAGGTGCCCGGGATGTCGGCCGCGGCCGCCTCGACCACCTCCTCCGCCACCGCCGCCGCCTCCGGAGCCTCGGTTCCCTCCATGGCCTCCTCCATGGCCCCCCCCATAGCTTCCTCCGTAGCCCCCGCCGGAGCTGCGGGGCCCGCCATCCCGGCCCCAGTTCTGAGGGTAATCATAGCTCATTGTCCCAGCGGACTACAACTCGTGAGAACCTGCAATCGCTAGAAATGGCGCCCGGGCCCGGAAGCGGGTGCACGTCTCCTTCCGTTTTGCTTCCGGCGCCCAGCGCGAGAGGGAGGGCCGTTTGGGCGTCACAGCAGCTGCTTCCGGTTACGTCACGGGCGGACGACCTCGGTGGTCAGGAAGGTGGCTCAGGTGAAGTCCTCTTTGATGTGCCCTGTTGTCTACCTTTGTACCTGTGGACGGAAAGTGAGCAAAGCCTCGCAGGTTTCCTTTACCTACACCCAACATGTGAGGAAATGGGTTTTGGTTTTTACTTTCTTATTACCCGTAGTTAGATCCGAAGTTTGCTTCCAATTAGACCCTGGAGAATAGACATCTATTGACACAATAAAAGAACCTGTGGATGGAGGCATTTTCTCCTAAAAGTCTCGAAAGAAATGAGTTCATCATTCTTTTTTTTAGTAGCTACATCTTAAATCAGCTTGACACCTGTTTCAAATAAGTATAAAACTGTCCCTGCCTCTCTTAAAGGATTGTCATTATTTATTGCCTTTATCCAACATCGTAACAAGGAGCATGGCTGCCAAAAATTAAAAAATGCTCTTAGGCAATTTAAATAAGTCAATTGAAGATTCATATGTTCATATGAAGCCATTTATTGTTGATTAACCAGGCCACTTAGTGTCTAGCACAGCTGCTTTTGAATAAGTCAAGTGACTGGGCCACACAGGCCTGGATGTTCACCAGAGGACATCTGGTTCATTTACATATTTTAACTGATTTAAAGGTACTGGGGTACTGAACAAGACTAGTGTGGCATCAGCTTTCATTTGCTTACAGTCTTGGAAAGGCAAAAGAAATGGCTGTGCAATGAGTTAAGAAAGGAAAATGTTGCATGCTCTGAAGGGGTCCAGACTACACCTCTGGCATAAAAGTTATTTTGAGCAGAGGCATTTAAGTTCCTGAAATATTTTAACTGCCTAAAAGCAGAGCCTCCCAAAAGAATTCAAAAGAACTCAGTTGTCATAAATCCCTTCCCCTGGGAGAGAAACTGACAAAATTGACTCTTATCACTGGAGACTAGAAATCAGTATCACACTTAAGCAGGAATTGTCACAAGACTATTATATATTCCATCTATTCTCATAAGAGCCCATTTTTCCTTCCTAGAAATCGTTTTCCCGTGAGTCTGTTTTTCCTCCTCCCCTTCCCCTATTAAGATAGTATATAAGCCCCAAGTTCTAACCTTCTCCCTGAATCACATTTTTATATGAAGTCCCACATGTATGTGACTAAATCTGTCTCTTCTCTTGCTAATCTGTCTTTTGTTGTTTTAATTTTTAGGCCCCCAGGATAAACCTAAGAGAGTAGAGGAAAAGATTTTCTTTCCCAACAGCCATTAAATGTTACAGCAAAATAATTTAATTTTAGAGTCAGGTAAGTGCTTTTTAAAGAATGAGAGGTTAAGCAGTGACTTTTGAGATAAGTAGACTAGCCAGACTAATGGGGAGTCGAGAGATTGTTACAGGTGGAGGGAACAGTATGTGTGAAGAGAGATGATAAAATGTTGGAGAGTGAGGGGTGCCTGGGTGGCTTAGTTGGTTAAGCATCTGCCTTTGGCTCAGGTCATGATCTCAGGATCCTGGGATCGAGTCCCATGTCGGGCTCCCTGCTCAGTGGGGAGTCTGCTTCTCCCTCTCCCTCTGCCTCCCCCTGCTCATGTTCTTTCTCTCATTCTTGCTCTCTCTCTCAAATAAATAAATAAAATCTTTAAAATATATATATTGGAGAGTGAGAGAAGTCTACCCTTAAACTTAAAGACTGTTAGAGAAGACCAAAGAGGTAGAAAGGAGCCTAATCATGGAGGACCTTATATGCCACATAGAGAGCAACAGTAAACTTTAAGTAGGAGAGTGATTATTTTTGGCTGCTTTGAAAAGAAAGGAATGGAGGAGGCAAGAGTGGATATGGAGAGGCTAGTTAAAAGGCTATGGTTTAGGGGAGGCAAGATGGAATATGGAAAGGACGAATTAAGAGATATTAGGAGATAAAAAAATGTCAGATTTGATGATTCACTGGTTGTGGACAATTAGAGGAAAGGGTCAGATAACTCTTGAGTTTAAGATTTGAATAACTACCAAATAAAGAGATACCGTATCCTGAGATGAAGAACACAGGATGAGGAGAATTTTTTTTTTTTTTTTTGACTGAGGGAAGGGTTGAGTTAATGCATTTAAATAATACAGTGGAGTTTGAGGAGCCCATAAAACATACAAATTGAGATGTCTAGAAAGTGGTTGGTTACATCAGTTAAAAACACAGAGAGAGCAGACTGAGATATATTTTGGTAGTCCTTGGCAAATATGATTAAGACTATAGGAATGAATAGTTCCAAGAAATGTATTGGAATTCATTGGGCATACCTGCTATGACAAGTATGTGAATTATTCAGTAGGTAAGATTGGGTAGGCATATTGGGGATGGTCAGGGCAAAATTCGAAGGAAATAGTGTGGATTGTTAGGTGAGAGAGTTTATGAACTGAATGGGTCTCCTCAAAATTTATATGTTGAAGACCTAACCCCCAGGGTAGCTGCATTTGGAGATGGGGCCTCTAAGGAAACAAATAAATGAGGTCATGAAGTTGGGGCTCTAATCTTATAGGATTAGTGTCCTTTTAAGAAAAGATACCAGAGAGCTCATTCTCTCTTTCCTCAGAGGAAAGGCCATGTGTGGACAAAGAAGCTGTCCACAAGCCAGGAAGGGTGCTTTCACCAGGAACCAAATCTGCCAGCACTTTGATCTTGGACTTCAGCCTCCAGAACTGTGAGAAATAAATTTCTGTTGTTTAAGTCAGAATAATACCATAAATATATGGCACTTATTTATTTATAAATAGTGTTTATTAAACCAATAAAGTGGTTTAATACCACTGAAACCTGTGGTGTTTTATTAAGGCAGCCTGAACATACTAATAGAGTAATAAGACTAATAGAGAGTAAGTGGGGAAGAAAACTAGCATTTATTTGTTGCCTAACATTTGCTAAGTATTGGGCTAGGCAGTTCACATTTGTGGTCAGCAGAATAATGACCCCCATAGATGTCCACATCCTAGTCCCTAGAACTGTGAATATGTTAAATTACATGGCCAAGGGAAATTAAGGTTGTTAATCAGCTGACCTTAAAAATGGGGAGATTTTCCTAGATTATTTGGATGAGCTCTATATAATTAAAAGCGTCCTTCAAAGTGGAAGAAAGAGGCAGAAGAGAATTTCATCATGATGTGATTTGAGGACTCAGGCAACTGCTACTGGCTTTGAAGATGGAGGAAGGGGGTCTCAAGTTATGGAGTGCAGGCAACATCTAGTGCTGGACAAGGAAATGGATTTCCCCTTAGAGCTTCCAGAAAGGAACACACCCTACCTACCCCTAGATTTTAGCCTAGTGAGGACTGCATCTGTAGCATCTATGTTACAGAATTGTAGGGTACTACATTTGTGTTAAAATTAAGACTCTGAGTTTCTGATAATTTGTTATGGCAGCAATAGAAAAGTAATACGATATTCCATATTTCGCATAATCCTTATGACAACCCCAGAGAGAGGTAGTGCTATCTCTATTTCCTGATAAATTCTGTTATTTCTCTTCACCTCATGTTTGTTAATTCTAAGCAGAATCTTAGTTATCAATAACTAAACAATAAAATTACAAATTCTTCCTGACTTCTTTAGTATGAAGTAATATGATATTGCTTGAGGCTATTGCTTTAGGCAGACACTTTAGAACAAATGTCACTGTAGTAAAAATCTGTGCAAAAGGAAGATTTTTAAGGAAAGACCACAAAGATATTAGTGGGAAGAAAAGTATCAATTGGTACTTTGGGTTTTGTTTTGTTTTCCTGCTTTGCTTGAAATCAGCAAGAATTCTTAGGTTACCTAATGCCAGAAGACAAAAGGAGTGACTGGCCCATTATAATTGCCATTGTTACTCTTGCTGATTCTCTGCTTTGTCCTGTGCTCTGGGCAGGCTAAAAAGATGTCTTTCTTACATGTGCTCTCCACTGATCATGGGCTGGGCACAGAGTGCAAAACCATTGCTTTCAAACCCACAGCGTTTGGTATCTAGGCCCACAGGCATGGGCGTCCCAATCTGGCCACTTCTGAAATGCAGCAAGGGTGAGCTACAAAGACCACACCACTACGGGAAATGACCACAGTTTTCCCAGTGTTAAGGAATTTCTTCTTCTCCATTTTCTTTACCCCAACCCTGTGCAACAACTCTAACATAATTTTTCATGCATCTCATGTTCCTGAGGGTCTGAGTGGGAATTTTTTTTAGTGTTCCTCTTGGAAAATGGAATCCTTAATGGACTCTTACCTCTTCTTGGTCGTGGGGAGAAGGCATGCTGATAAGAGTAATCCTAGATATATAGGGATCTGGCTGTTTTGGGGTAGGGTAGGGGACATGGAGAAAATGGCTCTTTTCAAATCAAGAAAAACACAGGAGAATTATTAAATAGCTCAATAGAGTATCTTGTCACATAAAATTTTGGAACTCAAATTGGGAAAATTTTAGTTACATTGAAAGAGAATTTGTGGAGAACATTTCCTGACTATAATGGTTATAGTAAAATTATAAATTTACTTAAAATACAACTCAGGTGGACCAAGAAAATGTAAGGTTTCATCATTATCATCATCATTATTTATTACTGATCTAATGTCTAAATTCCCTTCTTGCTAGGCAACAATAGTGGAAACATCTTAAAATTGCTAGCTAATTTTCCTTATTTCAGGTAACTATGAAATTCTTCTATTAGGCTTTTTTCTCTCTTTCTTCCCCCTCTCTTAATGGGAAGACTTAATAGCTGGGGGCTGGAATCATTTGGAGACCTCTTCATTGAGAGAGGTGGCCATCGACCCTGGATTTTGCCTGGAACTGTAGCTGGCTGTGGGCTGGAACACTTACGTATAGCCTCTCCATTTAGTTTCTCTGTGTGGCCTAGTTTTAGCCTCCTCACAGTATGGCAGCCTGGTTCCAAGAGCAATTGTCACAGAACAAGGTGGAAGTACCTGACATTTTTAGTACCTAGCCTCAGAAGTCACATAGCAACTAGTTACTAGTTGAGATGGTAATAGATGTCTACCTAGGTAAGGGCAGTTAGGCCTCACCACACTATGGGAGGGCAAATTATAAGAGGAGCATGTGGGATGGGAGATATTGAGTCCATCTTCAGAATATACAATCAGCTATAAGTGCTATCCTTTTCAAACCATGTGATAGTTTTGACAGTTTTACAGATTTATCAGGTTATATCACAGACACATCTGCCGCTATCCATATGACAACTAGAAGTAGGAAAAAAGAATGATAATACTGTAATAAATACTGATATTTATTGAGTGCTTATTATGTGTCAGGTACTATGAAGAGGCATATTTTTTTCTCTATTTTATTACAGTTAGGGTAAGAAAGTCAAGGGATGGAAGGACTAAAAAGAATGAGACCTCCCCAAGGCAAGGATCCCACTGTCACTGATATATTTCATGAGAAATAATGTAGTTGTATGAAAATTAGAAAAAACTAAGCGTCTGCAGCATTATTGATTCCTCCTTGCTTTAAAAGCTTCCATTTTCAGTCACTGAAACCTCATTTATCTATTTATCAGAGACACTTTTGAAATACTAAATCAACATATTTTCAGTCCTCTCCCCTATAAGTCATGTTCCCCAGTAGACATTTCACAATTATAACTCCAGAGAGGGGAGAGTGTGAAGTCTGCCTTAAGAAAGATGATATGAAGGAATGAAAATCCCTGATACATAGGAAGTAAAAAAAGAAGGAAGTCTTACTATTGTAAGAGAATATGGGTGGGTGGTGGAAAGGAAGAAAAGATGTGTTTAAATTTTGACCTCCCTCCTTCATCTCAGCTTTCAACACATTTCCTGCTTACAGCTTTGAGAGCACACCATATTTTGAATTTTTTTTTAAATCTCTGGTTATAGTTTTTAGTATATCCAGTGTTTGTGCTAAAGAGAAAAAATTAATTATTGAATCCCTGCATTCCCCTGGAATTCTGGGAGATTTGTCATTATCTCAAATTGATCTGTCCTCCTTTATGCCAATTTTGTCAGCTCCTATCACCAGTTTCCTTGCTTCTCTGACTTTACGGAATCTTTTAGACAAGTCAGGATTTTGTCCTGGTCTTCATTCTAAAATTGATAAACACTGAGGTATCTTGATCTTCTAAGAACATTAAACCTGTGTTCTACCTAGATCCATCAAGGGTATTCTTCTTAAACGAAGAAGAGAATCATATCTTCATCATAGTAGGGTTTTCATATAACACAGAGAAGTTGCAGATCCTTAACCTTTTTTTAGTATTTTAAAATTTTATAAATAATAGTATGACTAAAAGTTTTTACAGATAATCTTATCTGCCTGGGCTCTCCTCATCCCTAATCTTTTAACATCCACTCAAGAATAACTGAGCTCTAGAGAGTGTAAGTGTAGGTCAAACAGTGGTAGAGTCAGAATCAGAATCAGAGGTTGAAACTAAGCCTTCTGATTCCTAGCCCAATGCTCTTTCCACTGTATAGCCAAGATAGTTACACACTTGAAAGGTTATAGATTGTGGATATGTCAGTTAGAGTCTCTATAGAAAATAGATAGCAATCTTAAAGTATTCAGAGAACATTTGTATATATACATGTTAAAGTATGTATACAAGTACAAAAGATCTTTTAAAGGGACTGTAAATGATTTCATTAAGCTGGAGTTAGTAGCAACAGAGATGTTACTATTTCTAGGCCCAAGGTGAATGAAGAAATGGAATGAGTACCAGCATCCTGAAAGAAAATGGCACAGAGTCAGCTTTCTGTAAGAAGCAGTGACTGCTGAAAAAGGGTAAGATCCAGTCCAAGGTGATTTTTCAGGGAAAGAGGAATAAATATCCTGACCTCATTTTCTTCTTTGTCTCTGATCTCTTGCTGGAAGTCCGCATTGGCCAAACCCAGTGGGAAGCAGAGAGCATTTGCTTCTGCCTGTTTACATGGTTGGTGCTTGGTGCAGAGAGTAGGATGGAGAAGAGTAGAGAAATTTGCAGGAGAAAAGTTAACATAACCAGTATCCAGAGCATATTTTGATGCTTTTAGTTGCAGTGAACTGTAAATATTTCAATAAGAGGCAGAGATCAATCAGAGAATTTTCTGTCCCTTTATTCTCTATCAAATGCACATATTATCTGTTTTCAGCCTCCTCTTTGAATTTAATTGTCCAAACATTCAGTAGCTCCAGAGGCACTGCTTTCTTTGTGATTTAGGGTATTTTACAGTTAGCAGTAGGAGTGGGGGTGTCCTCACCTTTAAGCTAAGTTTCTGAAGCCATGACATACTTGTCCTCCTTTTAGTACCTTCTTTCAGGATAGATCTTGATGATATCCAATCATAATTTTCTTATTTCACTCAAAATACTGAAAGAGAATTTTTTTAATTCTCTATTAACTTAATTTTTAATTAATTATTTAACTAATTCTCTAAGTTAAAGCAGATGCTATTAATTGTTATGCCAGAAAAACAATTGTAAATTGGGACTATCCCAGGCAAACCAGACATTTTGTCATCCTAACTATGAATTATTGTCACTGTCTGCTAATTCCATCTGTTTCTCATGAAAAGAAAAAAAAAAAGAAAAAAATGGATTCTAGGATCCATGTTAAAGATCTTCTTGTCTTGCATAACATAGTTTCCCTTGAAAACTACATAATCTCATAATTGGATTTTTCTCTGTCTAATGTAAGCAGACAATCTGGGAATTTAGGAAAAAAA